CCTAAGGCACGGCTTTAATCTGAAAATTCCGACAATTAACCGAACACTTAACTCTGAAATGACCTAATCATCATGAATAGGGACTGAGGAGAGCAGTACCTCTCGAAACACCCGACTGAAATTGGAGAATAAGGCGTGCTTCCTTTGCCTTGCGCTCGCCGTGTGTGGAATAAATCTTGCCGTGCGATTGGGGGTAAAGTTTAGGAAAAGAAACAGGTTGAACTTGCTGCTGCTAAAGGCTTAATATATACTGAACTTGTATGATCGGTGCTTAAGGGAAAAGTGACGAAATTTTCCCCAAGTAACTTCTTATATAGATGCTCGGCCGTGGGGGATTATGTAGGCACTACGTGGCCAATTTGGGACTAAACACTTGCTCAATTTTTAACTAGGCTAAAGATGACTAATTAGGCTCTAATATTGCCACGTTTTATGCCAAAACTTAAGGGGAAGAATTGATTTCCATGAGTTGAAGGAAGCCACGGCTTTTTGGTGTAATTTGGATATAATTTCTCACACTCACGGCTAATGACCTTATTTAGGTGATTAATTACAATTAATCACTCATTTTTATGTTTAATTATTAATTAAACATAATACTTAATTACCAAAATTATTTCGGACGTAAACGGTACGTCGAAAATAGATTTCGGTAATTTCCGACTGAACGTAATTAATTCCGAAAATAATAAACCATAACGTTACTATATCGGAATTAAACATAATTTATACTGATAATATCTCGGGATATTACATCAAGGCTTCATTAAAAAGGCTTATATCATGAAAGCCCAGGCCTCCTTTGAGTTTGGGAAGAGTGAGTCTATCCCATTTTCTCCAATGAATTCCACTATCAGAGTTTTCTCAAGATTTCCACCAAAAGCCTGCACACAGCCTTGAGATTTCTTTGCAAATGGCTACTGGCAGTTTAAAACAGGTCATAGAGAAAATAGGGAGTGCTTGAATAATTGATTTGAGTAAGACTTCTTTACCTGCTGGAGAAAGAAGTTTGTTCTTCCAGCCTTGAAGCTTATTTCTGATGGAGGATAAGATGAAGTCAAAAGCTTCCTTTTTCGATCTGCCAATACCCAAAGGTAGCCCAAGGTACCTTGTTGATCTATGAGGTACAATTCCCTGAAGAACATTACAGATGCTATCTCTCAAACTTGAGGGAGTATTCCTGCTAAAGAAAATTCCAGACTTCTGCAAGTTGACCTTCTGTCCAGCAAAGAGCCTGTATTTGTCCAAGAGAGAGATGAGTTGCATGGCTTGATCCACTCCTGCCTTGCAGAGGAGCAGGGAATCATCTGCAAAGAGGAGGTGAGTGATTGCTGGTCCATTGCTGGAGAGTTTGATTCCATGGAGATGGCCTTGGGATTGAGCATTAGATATTAGGGCTGAAAGAAGCTCTTCAGCAATGATGAACAGGTAGGGGGACAGAGGGTCCCCCTGCCTTATGCCTCTTGATGGAGTGATATAGCCACAGACCTTTCCATTAACTTTGAAGGAAATTGATGTAGTGGTGACACAGACCATGATGAGCTTCACAAAGTCTGATTTGAACCCCATTTGAAGCATGATTCTCTGTAAGCATGGCAATTCAAGTCTATCAAAGGCTTTCATTAGGTCTAGTTTCAAAGACATGAAGAAATGTTTCCCTGTGGAGTGTCTGTTCAGGAAATGGTATGCCTCCTGAGCTATAATGATGTTGTCCATAAGCTGCCTTCCCTCCACAAAAGCTGACTGTTGGGGACTGATACAATCTTGCAAACAGAGCTTAAGCCTCTGAGCAAGGACCTTTGATAGAACCTTGTAGATGACAGAACAAAGGCTGATAGGCCTAAATTGAGATAGGCTTTCAGGATTGTGGACTTTTGGAATTAATGTTAGGATAGTGTGCTTCCAGTACCTTAGAATATCTCCAGATTGAAAAAAACTGAGAATAGCTTCATAGACATCCTTTTTAACCAAGTTCCAGAAATGTTGGAAAAAGAGAGCGTTCATACCGTCTTCACCTGGGGATTTCTCCGGGGGCAGGGAGAAGAGGGCAGCTCTTACTTCTTCCTCAGAAACTGGCTTCAATAAGGTTTGATTCATGTCATCTGAGATTGTCTGAGGGATAAGATGGATCATAGACTCTCCATCCCAACTTCCTTCTAAAGTGAATAACTCAGAGTAAAATGCAGAAATGTGGTTCTCTATGTCTTCATGAGATGTAAGCACTGTTCCAGAAGGAGTTAAGAGCCTTGAGATGGCATTTAGCTTTCTTTTCTGGAGTGTGTAAGCGTGGAAGAACTTGGTGTTGGAATCACCTTCTTTGAGCCATTTCACCTTTGACCTCTGTTGCCAATGAAGTTCTTTTTGCTTATGGGCTGCATTGAGTTCAGTCCTTGTTGCATTCCATTGCTCCCAGTAATCTTCAGCTTTATCTTTTCTAAGCACCTCAAGTTTTTTAGTGAGCAAGTCAATGGATTGTTGATTTTTGGACCTGAACTTAGAGCTCCAAATGAGAAGGGCAGCTCTAGTATTCTTCACTTTCTCCTTGAGTTTAAAAAAAGGAGTCCCTGTAACTTGTTGAGACCAAGATGAAGTGACTATTTCATTGATTCCTTCCATGTTGAGCCATTTCTTTTCAAAGTGGAATCTTGCAGGTATCTTGTGTTGTCCTTGCCCTTGACAGAGAAGAAGCAAAGAGTGATCTGAAGCACCTCTAATTTTGTTGGACACTGTGGCATTTGGTGAGTCTATCAGCCAGTCTGTTGAAGCAAATGCTCGATCCAGTTTTTCTTCTACAAGGCCCTCTACTTCCCTCAAGTTGCACCAAGTGTAGCTGTAACCTTGCATAGGCAATTCTTCCATCTCCATATTGCTGATGAATGTGTTAAATCCTAGAAAACTGCTATCACTTCTCGGCTTTCCACCAGATTTTTTCTTCTTTGAAACGAATATCGTTCCAGTCCCCTATAATAAACCATTTGGAACCCCAACAATCTTTGTCTCTCTCCATTTCCACCCACTGCTGCATTCTTGTTAGCTTGCAAGTGCTCATATAGACAAATATGCCCCATTGAGAAGGGCCAGCAGCAAGAGCAAATTCAACCGCAATGTAAAAAGATTTATGAAAAATATTAATAATATTTACATTAGAATCCCAAAGCAAAAGTAAACCCCCACTCAAACCAACAGGGTCTACAATAGAAAATCTGTCAACAAAACCTAACTTCTTAGCTACAGATTTCACAAAGCCATTTGTTTTTTTTGTTTCAGAAAAAAAAGAAAAAAGTTGGGTGATGAGCCTTAATTGACTCTCTGATTTGGGAAATTGTAGAGGGCCCACCCAGCCCTCTACAATTCCACACCGCAGCTAGCATTGGTCATTTGGGTGCCATTCAAGGCTGGCAACCTCCACCTTTCCAAAGTTCAATTTCAATTTCTTATTGTCAGTCTGACCTGTAACCTGGCCACCTTGTTGATGAGACTGATACTCTTCTTCATTCCTTTGCCTTTTAGTTGGAATTTCTTTGTCGATGAGGATGGAAAGTACTGGTTCCCTTTGAAGTCTTCCATCCTTGGTTCTATCTCTTTTCCAGGTTTTAGTTGATCCACTAACTATGGGAGAAGTGAGGCAATGTTTGATAGATGGTGGGTCAGAGGAAATGGTGTCATCAACTAAGACTTCTTCAATCTCCATATTCTTGGAAGTCTCCACTATTTGAAGATTTTTAGCCATCAATGATCTTGGCTGATGAGCATGAGAAATAGAGGTGGGGAGTGAAGAAACTGAATTACCCTCAGCTGCATTCAGAGGATTGTGAGGAGATGATTCTTGCAGAGCTAGCTCTCTGTTGTTACCTTCAACTTGGATTAAAGCAGTGGTAGGCGGTTTGGTGGCTCTCTCATTCCCTTGAAAGGATGTAGAGACTTCAGCTTCCAGATGTCGAGGATGAGAAGATTCACCTTGCATCAGCATAATTTGATTACTCCCTTCGGCCTGGTTTCTAGACGATTTCAATGGAGACTGTTGGGCTGGAGTGGTAGGGTTGGTGGATGAAGGGCTCCTAAAGTATGATAAATTCAAAGTTGCAAAGTTCTGTCCTTCCGGAGCTCTCAACCAGTCTCCATATTGTCCTTCTTTTAGAGATTTCGAAATGATGTCTTGTTGTCTTTTATCACAATTCCTTTCCAGATGTCCTATAACACCACAATAATGGCACATACTTACGAGTTTTTCATACTTAAAACTAACAGTGTTAAGCCGATCCCCCAGCCTGATGGTTGCGCATCGTGGGATTAGTTCTGAGATGTCAATGGAGACTAGAAGACGAAGAATGTGCCCTCCATGACTCCCAGCACCCACCACAACTACATTTTTGAGCTTCTTAAAGACAGACCCCAGTTTCAGACCCACTGCTGTGCTTAGCCAGTTGAGAGGGATGTTGTAAACTTGAACCCAGAAACTCACCTCCTGGAATATGGGGTGATTGATTGAGAGGCCATAGAACCATTCAGTTAATATGAGGTACTGATTGTCGAAATTCCAGTTTGTGCCTTTTGCTACTCTTTCCTTGTCGTCTTTACTTTGGAACAGAAACTGGAAAAAGTTGTGCCCTAATTCCTTAACCTCCATAGGCAGAGATAATCGCCAAATGTTGCTCATAGCATGCTTGATTCCAACCCAGCTGGCCTTTCGATCCCCTATGACTTTCCCAAAGAGACTGCGCTCACAAATTTCTGCACTTGGTTTAATGTCCTCTTGAGCAATGTCAATGATAGGGGCTTCTCGATCCGATAACGAAAAACCGTGAAGACGCTGTGAAAGTTCTTCATCTTGGCCAATGCACGCTGAAGACCCCATAGAAGGTGGGAGGTTTAGAAATCCCCAAATTTGGGAACCCCAAAAAATCGATAAACCCTAGAAAGGAAGGAAAATCACTTCAATCCCACGAAGATGCTAAAATATAATAAGAATAGAGCTGCTGAATATCAAAATGAACAGCAAAGGAAGATTAAAGAAACAAGAACAGATCTATCGATGGGAAGTGACGATGAGGAAAAAATCGCTCTCCACGAGAGAATAATTTCGCTCTCCACGAGAGAATACAACAATTCAATATCAAAAAATAAAATATTAGAAAATATTTTTTTAATATTTAAAATTAAAAATTTAGAAATAAAAAGAGAGAACAAATAAATTATCTGTAAGTGCAAACTATAGAAGCATTTAACCTTTGAAAACTAAAATTCACAAGATAGAAAAATGAGAGAATAAAGGTATGCACACATGAAATAACCATAATAAAAAATATATGAAGTATAAGTTCACGTTAAATACTCGTAATGAAAATAAAAATTATACAAGTTATTAAAACAATGAGTAAAATAACAGTGTATGAGTGTGGGCTAAATTTCATTCTTAGTACACTATGTTGGTCATTTTCTGAAAAGTCCATTATGTAGAGTGTCATCAATAATGGTCCACTAAGTTGCAAATTTAATCAAAATAATACAAAAACCAAGATAGTGTACTAATACTTACGATCAATTTTAATACTTTATCTTGGTTTTTGTATGAATTTTGATTAAGTGACAACTTAGTATACCTTTCTTGATGACGTCCTATATGATGGATCTTTCTAAAAAAAATGGCCAACATAGTGGACCATTTTTAATAATTTACCTATGAAAGTGATATGAGATACAAAATCGTGTTAAAAAAAATAAAGAGAGAATGAAGAGAGTCACATAAGTCCAGCAAAATCTCACCAATATTGATGAGAGTTTTGTTAGGACTTTATCTTTGTAATTTTGTTACAAAAGTATCTAAAAGTCTCACAATTAAAAAACTCACATAAAATCTTTCTTTTTTTAATATCGGGTGACTTATAGAGATTTTTAAAAAGTTATAATTAAGTACCTCGAGAAATTTTTAATAAATGTCTCAATTGAACCGGTAAACTTTTCAGAAGTCTCTAAAAGTTCTAATTGAATACACCAGAATTCTAAAAGTCTTAAAAAACGTCTAAAATTGAAATTGAATATACCCAAATTTCATAAAAAAATTTATAAGTAAGTCAAACTATTTCCACAAAAATAACCTTTCACTTTTATATTAAACATTAACCGATTTAATTAATTTAGTCTCATTTTCTTCTTATTATCTTTGTCATACTAAATCTTCATGAAAAAGGGAAAAAATATAGGTAAATTAGCGCATGCATTTACCAAATTTCATCACTGTTGAAACCTTTAACTAATTGAGTCACCACAAAGGCTTAGGTTAGTGACAGACAAGTATATGATGTAGGCCGTTGATTTAGAAGGTCACATTCTCTTAATAATAATTAACAACAATATAAAAAAGTTAATTTGCATGGTAGAAAGTCATTGCCGCTCACCCCAATTTCAACCTTCCTTTTTGACGTTGGAAGACTTGAATGATCTCTCACAAGTAGGAGATTTTCTATAAAGAGTGTTCTCTTAATAATAATTAACAATAATATAAAAAAAGTTAACTTGCATGGTAGTAAGTCATTGCCCCTCACCCCAATTTCAACCTTTCCTTTTTGACTTTGGAAGACTTGAATGATCTCTGACATGTATGAGCTTGTCTATAAACAGTGCTCTCTTAATAATAATTAACAACAATAAAAAAAAGTTAACTTAATTATAAGAACTGGGTTTTCAGAAGAGGAAAAGGGAACCACTCGAGAAAATTTGAATATGGTTTGAAATTACTATATTTAGTTCTTGAAAAGTAAAAAAATTACTCTGATTTTCAAGCGTGATAAAAGCGGGGTGTTACAATTATAATTATATGTGTATTCTTATTTTTATAAAAATATTTTTAATTATATTAAAATTTATGTAAAAAAGCTAAACCTGTTCAACCCGATTTTTGGTCGATTCTTACCGGTTA